CCTGTCTCCCCGACCCCAGAGGATGGACCCACAGGCGTTTCATCTGATCGCCCTCTGATACACCCCACCAGACTGCACCAAACCCTCCCAGCAGAAGGGACGGAACCCCGCTGTGGACGGTGCAGGTGACCAGGCAGCAGGTGCCTCAGCCAGGCTGCAGGAAGATTTCTACCTCGGACAAAAAAAGAGGTCGCCTGCCATTTCAGTCAACGAAGAATGTTTGTTTGACCGCTAACAAGCCATGAGCCACAGCAGCTGTCCTGACGGTGGGCCCTGAGGGGACTTCAGGATGGAGAAAAGCAGGATCTGGCCCTAGATAGCTGAGATGCACAGCTAAGGAATGATTTCAATGAGCCCAGACTCTGGGATCTTCCCACAGAAAAGCACTGGAATCATTAACTTGAGATGTCTGGTTTTTATGATTAGCTGTAATCTTTGATGTTCCATTAAATGTGTGTGTCATTTTTGTTTTTCCTCAACAAAACCTCCTACATACCGTGGCTCCTTCCCTGGCCTCTTTGGAGCAGATCCTCAGAGCCATCTGAGAGGCTGTCCCCCTGGCTTTTAGTCCTCAGTAGGTCCCCGAATAAAACGTTAACTCACAACTTTCAGTTTTCCTTCAGTCTACAATACCCATCGCTCAGAAGAGAGGTCTTTGGTGCTGCAGGTAAATACAGCGGAAGAACTGAGCCTCTAAGAGATTTGAGAAATGCTGAAGCTGGTGGAAAAACACACATGGGTATGGTACCCTCCACGCTGAAGAGCCTGTAGCAGCCCCGAGAACATCAGGACCTAGAACGGATGCGGGGTGAAGGCGGTACTTCTCGTTTCACGTTAACTCCACAGGCCCTTATTCCCAACTAACAGTGTGTCTGCTAGAGACATAAAGAATCTGGATGTGCTGCAAGATAATTAGGAAATAATTCAGGCCTTCATCTGAACCTCTCAGCAATGAAAACAGAATGGAGAAAAGGGCGACTTTTCCCTTAGTTGCTGAATGATGAACCGCTTAGCACTTTTGGCATCTCTGTATCCTTTTCCCCGTAGTTGTCTGACACCCTTAGCTCTCCCTTGCACAGCTGACATTCCTAGTACACACACACACACACACACACACGCACGCCCCTTCAAACCTACTAGCAGTTAAACGTGGCAGCGACTTTGTCAAATTCATTTATTTCATTTGTCTATTGAAAAATAATCAATATCAACTGGAACGTTTAATGCTTCCATTTCAGGAGAGAAACAGGCTTTAATACTCAAATCTATAATGACTCATAGTTGAACAAAGTGTGAAAAACAAAATTCTACACTGAGAACAATCTCTTCTAGAGCTGGTTCTTATAATAATTAGGGTCAAATCATTGGATAAGTCATGATGGATGACCAGCCAGGGAAAAACGCCCCTTGCTGGTGGCCTGAGGTCATCCACTCTGCCTGCTCTTTGCTAATTAGTCCTCCAGAAATACTTCCTGTCCTCTTTGGCAGCAAACAGAACAATTGAGGTGAGTGGCTCTCAGGAAATTAGAAGTAATGCATTTAAATGCCAATTCTGCTCTGCAACAGCAAGTTGAGAACTGAGGTCATTTGCATATCTTTAAGATTCAGGTTAAAATACACTGGTTTAAGGCAGTGTCTTCCTCTTTTTATAAGAGTACGTAAGGTTAAAGCTCATTTTGTAACTGCTTGTAAGTTTATAATCGCACATCTATCTATCTAGAGTAGTTAAGGGGCTGCCATTATAAAGGTGGCAGACAAAATGACTTGATATGTTAAATCTATGAGAATCAGGTATTTCCGGTTGTGTCTGTTAGATTTAAGGTTCCATTCTCCACCTTTTTAAGTGTAAAATGAGATTCCAGGTCAGCAGAGTGAAGTGGAGCCATGATCTATGATCCAGATAATTCAGGTCCTTGTTGCAATTAATTATACAAGGAGGCCACTGGACCAACATCTAAGCCAGTAGAAGCCTCAAGGTTACAAATCGATGGAAACGCTAAGGAGGACCAGTCTAGGCAGCTGGCTGGGCTTTACCTGTCGCCCATCAGGTAATTTCCTTTCTCTGCCTCTGCACCTTCACTAGGTCAGCCTTCCCAGGCTCTAACCACGTCCAGTTTGGTGCTGCGGGATTGGAATCGATTTTTGCTCAAATGAACTCTTCGCGTTTCGGACATGCCTGTTACTCTTTTAACGCTGTCTTCCACGTACAGTCCTCACAAGCCTCGAAAGGGCAGAAGACTCAGTGGGGGACTCTGCAGACGCCTCTCTGCTCTCGCAGCCCTGACTCGACTTGGTCCAGAGGAGAGAAACAGGCCAGCAACTGTATACTGACCGCTAATGAGTGCCTTCCTTTCTCATTCCTTCCAGGCCTTGCGAAAGATAAAGAAACAGCACCCAATTATCTCCAAGAATGACAGCTGAAGAAAGGAGCGAGGAATCTGCCTGCATTGTTTGCGTCTACCAAGAAAAGAAACATCATGGCTATGACAAACTGCACCCAGGGCTTCCCTGGTGGCGCAGTGGTTGAGAGTCCGCCTGCCGATGCAGGGGACGCGGGTTCGTGCCCCGGTCCGGGAAGATCCCACATGCTGCGGAGCGGCTGGGCCCGTGAGCCATGGCCGCTGAGCCTGCGCGTCCGGAGGAGCCTGTGCTCCGCAACGGGAGAGGCCACGACAGTGAGAGGCCCGCGTACCGCAAAAAACAAAACAAAACAAACTGCACCCGACTGTCCTTGAGGTTTGTAGGTCTCAGGACACCCCCTCCCAGGGTGTGCTGTTCTCTCTTGCCCCAGAGTGAGGGCCTTGGGATATGGGTGTCTGCGAGGGGGTTGGGGTTCAAGCCTCCATTCAGCATGCAAAGCATCCCTTTTAAAAATGGATGCCACTGAATCAAAGGAGGAAACAAAATCACAAACCCAATTCTTACTGTCCCTGAGCACAGCTCAGTGTTACAGACTCAGTTGGATGTGCACCTAGAACGTTCCTTCTTCTCCACAGCAGTTGACCTGAGTTGACTCTTGGCAGCAGGTGGGGTGGCGGGTACGGGGGTTTACTCTTTATCTTAAGTGGGGGGGGCCTATTAACCGTGTCAATCTCTCCATCCTAGCAAACTGCTACCAGCTTTGCAAGGGCAACCTTTCCCATGTCTTTTAGCACTGATAAAAATGTTAAAACTTTTACGATACCTCTTCCTAAATTTCCATTCAAATACCTCTGGCTCTCACTAAAAATGGGGGCTGGTCTCTGTCATCTGTGTTAGCCCCACCTGAGGCAGAATCAAAAATATCCCTGCAAACCCAATAAAACACCCACAAAAATAAAACGAACACTTCTTCAAGGGGTCAAGATCCTATTTCCAGGCCTTTCAGCCAAGCTCTGCGGGTCAGTCAGGGAGAACCGCTGATCTCAAGTTTCCCCAGTGAAGCCAGTACTGTTCCAACCCCTGCGCTCAGGGAGCGGGCCTTTCCCAACACAGCAGCTGACTAAAAATGTACGCGATCTAATCGGAAAGGACCCTCCTGAAAATGCTAGGTGCTCTCCTCTGACTCTTGGGGAAGCGAGATTTGCTGGGGCGTCATCGGGCACAGTTAGCGCTCTGCAAGCGTCCGAGTCCTCTACAGCTGAGAAGAACCTTTCTCCTCTCCACGTGCACTTCCATAGAAATCAAGCATCCCCCCAAATAAGGAACGGGTGGATTTCATACAAAGCTCTGAAGTGGGTGTGTGAGAAGGAAGGGTTACGTGCTCCCATTCGTGACATGTGGTCTCGAGGGGCGTTCCTATGACATTTGGAACAACAATTAAATGCTGGAGAAAAAAACCAAACAGGAGTTAGTACATCAAAATGACCACCATGCGTGAGCTTGAAAGGTGAGACTTTTCTGCATTTTCTAAAATGTTCAACCAGTACACACTAATTTGATAGTAGAAAACAGATTTTAAAAGCAAAAAAAAAAAAAAAAAAAAGTTAAATGCAGGCTAATGTCTGTGCTGGAAAGGAAGTTTTGAGGGGCTGACAGATGAGAGGGCTTCCCCAGGTTAGTAACTTCATGTGAAAAGAAAGTCATTAGAGAAATGCAAATCAAAAGTACAGTGAAGCATCACCTCACACCAGTCAGAATGGGCATCATCAAAAAATCTACAAGCAACAAATGCTGGAGAGGGTGTGGAGAAAAGGGAACCCTCTTGCACTGTTGGTGGAAATGTAAATTGATACAGCCGCTATGGGGAACAGTATGGAGGTTCCTTAAAAAACTAAAAATAGAACTACCATATGACCCAGCAATCCCACCACTGGGCATATACCCAGAGAAAACCATAATTCAAGAAGACACATGCACCCCGATGTTCATTGCAGCACTATTTACAATAGCCAGGTCATGGAAGCAACCTAAATGCCCATCGACAGACGAATGGATCAAGAAGATGTGGCACATATATACAATGGAATATTACTCAGCCATAAAATGGAATGAAATTGGGTCATTTGTAGAGACGTAGATGGACCTAGAGACTGTCATACAGAGTGAAGTAAGTCAGAAAGAGAAAAAAAATATTGTATATTAATGAATTTATGTGAAATCTAGAAAAATGGTACAGATGAACCAGTTTGCAAGGCAGAAATAGAGATGTAGAGAACAAACGTATGGACACCAAGGGGGGAAAGCGGGGGCAGGGGGTGGGATGAACTGGGAGATTGGGATTGACATATATACACTAACATGTATAAAATAGATAACTAATAAGAACCTGCTGTATACAAAATAAATAAATTAAATTAAATTTTAAAAAAGAAAGCCAGAGCCTCCCCCTTGGAAGGATCAGTGTTTCTGCAGAAAGCACCATAAAAACTTAATGACTAAATTCTGAAACAGGGAACACGATTCCTTCAAAATCAATTGCCAACATAACCAGGAGAATCATGCTTTCCTTTCATGCTCATTGGGAATGTACAGTTTAGAATCTTATAAAACTGGGTTCACAGGGCCCGTCTCTTAGTTACTTGTTGCTGCCTCCAGCTTGCGCTTGTGGGGAGGGTCTTCGATGATCCTGTTGAGGTCCCCGCGGTTTCTCAAGTCCATCGGCTTCTCCCAGACGGACAGCTGCATCGTCGGGTTGAAGAAGAAAACCCGGTCATCGCCCGTCCAGACCACACACCTGTGTGAATCGAGAAACTCCTCTAAGTTTCCCTCAAAGACCCTTGGCATGAGCCCTACCTCAAAAAGCCCTTCAGGGCTGAAATCCACACATTTGCAAAGATTATTTACGCAAAGTATGAATGATAGTAGCAATGTCTGGCTTTCAGGGTGATTTACAGATATTTCTCATATGTTATCTCATTTGATTCACAGGCAGACATCGTCCTCACCTTCATTTTACCGGTAAGGACACCAAAGTTCAGAGAAGTGAGCGGCTTAACCGGACCCCAGGAGGTCTGAGCTCTTCCTGTAGGCCAGCTCTCTCCTTTTAGCGGAATTCCCGCTCTGGCCCTGGATCCAGGGACCGAGTAACACGGAGCGTGGTGCCCGGTAAACCTCCCCGACGGGGCGCTGCCCGTGCGGCAGGGTTCACAGGCCCTGGAGGCCCACACAGGCGGGCAGCTCATCCCTCTCCAGCAGAGAACTAGCAAATGGGCTGCTTGAATTAGCAGCCTCTGTCTCAGCTCAGTCCTGGTTTGTCTTTAGAGGAGCAGGGAATTAAGCTTTGTGTCCTCACGTGTAGGATTCTAAAATCTCCGAAAGGAATAGTATGCAATTTTAAGACCTCTTGGTTATCAGGGAGGAGAAAAAGATTACAAAGGAAAAATAGTGAAGGAAAGAAAAACAAAAGAAAGGAAAAGCTTCCTTCCTAAGGAATATGTCTGTAATGTGGGAATATGCACACAGAAATTCGGATTTGGCCTCAATGTATCCCAACAAACAAGGCCAGTTAAGGCCACCAGACTGGCCTCTGGCTGTGTCCTGTGACCAGTCTTGTGATGGTGCAGAGAAATGAGCTCTGTACCTGTTTCTGGTCTGGGCCTTCCAGAAGATTCCTCTTGGGCAAGGCCTCTCCCCCTCCTGGACCTCAGCTTCCCCCAGTGACCTCTGAGGGCCCTGAAAGCTACAGGACTCTCCTCAGGCTCCTCAGAAGCTGCGGGAAGGGGCATGACAAGTCCACGTGACCTGAAACCCTCTGATCTTTGATTACTCTCTAGGGGGAGACCGATCAGGGACACTTCTGGGCGGTGCCAGGGCTCCCAGCAACCAGCTCCGGCCTTACCAGACACACACACATGGGTGTCTGCCCTCTCTCTGCATCTGAGCCAGCACAAGCCACTCTGCTTCCCAAAGAGAAAATCATTTCCACCCTTGAATCTCCATGCTCAGCCCAGACGGCCACTTCCCATAGGCCGGACAGAGGGTTCAGGGGATGAGCCTCATGTTAGGGAAACTCTGTACAGACCAGGTTCCTTCGTAGAAATGACCTTGAGATGGTCTGTCTGATTTACTACCCGGCCAGGCCAGGTTCATGGGAGTGGTGGACTGAATAATGGCCCTGAAGAGGTCCACATCTGATTCCCTAGAACCTCTGAATGTTACCTTACATGGCAAAAGAGACCTCGCAGATGTGATTAAGTTAGTATCTTGAGATGGGGTGAGTAGCCTGGACTGTCCAGGTCGGTTCAGTGTCATCACACGGTCCTCATAAGAGAAAGGGGGGGAGGGTCCGAGTCAGAGAAGGTGTGAGGACAGAAGCAGAAGTAAGACAGACAGACAGGCAGACACACGCACACACCTGGGGTGGGTGGGTAGAGGGAGAGAGAGATTGGAAGATGCTCCACTGCTGGCCTTGAAGTTAGAGGAAAGGGCTAAGGAATGCCGATGCTTCTAGAAGCTGGGAAGGCCTGGAACAGATCCTTGCCTGGAGCTTCCGGAGGGAACCAGCCCTGCCCACACCTGGATTCAGCTCCGTGGGGTCCGTGTTGGATTCTGACCTCCAGAGCAATGAGATGACAGATTTGTGGAGATGAAATCTCTGTCTATGGTAGACTACCCAGCACGCTTCACCTCTGGCCCCTCTCCGTCCTGGGTGCCAGCATCCGGGCCTGCATCCCTCCAGCAGTGACCCAGACCCCAGCACTGTGCCCACAGCATTGGCCTCTGCTGGCCTGGTCAGCCAGGTGGAAGGCCACGACCCGCCTCTTCGGTGGACACACCCTCCAGCTCTAGACCTGCCCTTGACCTTCAGATGATCTTGAGAGCCACCCTCACCCTCTGTGGCCTTCGTTCCATCATCTGTATAGGCGGGGGTTGGAATGGAGATTTGTGTTGTTCTGACGTGCTCACCGCTGCGGGAAAATTCAGGCAAGACACGAGGGTCCCGCCTTTATTAGATGTTGGGCGGCTCATGGGCCCACAGGGGCTGGAAGTCGAGGGGCAACGCTGGCAAACTGGACTAGATCCCTGCCTATGGATTGGATCCCCCCCAGCCCCAGCGAGCCCAGGCAGAGGACAGGTAACCTCTCGGGGCCTGGAGGAAGCTGCGTGTCTTTTGGTGCAGAACTCAGCTGGCATAAGACGTTTTTATTGAGTATAAAGCTGCAGGCAATTATGCTGTGCTGTAGGTTATGTATAGCTCCGCCCCTGAGTGAATGTCAAGTAAGAGGCGAGCAGACCAGCAGCAGCACAGGGGTGATGGCAGGTCCCACCCGGGCACCTCCCTACCTGTTGAGCGCATCAAATCAGGTTTGTCTGGGGCACAAAGGCAGCTGCCCACTCGCCCACATTCAGCCTTCTGAAGCCTTCTTTGGCTGGGTTGTGGCTGGAAAGATTTGCTCCAAGACCAAAGCTCCTGGCAGCCACCAGGCTCCGTTTGTAACAGTCTGGCTTGAATTTTTATTTTTTTCACAATGTTTGACTTCACTTGGCCTGAGTGAAAACTTCTAGAAGCATCTTTGGCTCCCTGCATCCCTGTCTATACACTTAAAGATTTAAGAGCTGCCGTGTGGACCCCAGGACCCCTGACCTCACTTGTAGGACAACGAAGCTCTGCAGCTGATACACCTGACAGGTACTGCTGTCCTGGCAGGAAGTCATCCTGCCCCCACCACCCATACACACACAAACACGCACACACCAGAGATCTGGGCTTCACAGCCCAGCCCCCAGCAGCCTCATGCCCACAGCCGACTGGTCTATTCCCTCCTCTAAGAGTCATAGAGGGGAGCTGGGGGTGGGGGGCGTGCACGCAGGAGCCCAAGGGCGTGGAGACCTGCCTTCCAGGACGGCTCTGTCTCTCTGTGTCTCAACACCTCAGACAGTGAATTCAGTCTCCTGGGCCTCAGTGGGCGAGGTGATTTCTTAAATTCCTTCTGACTTGTATTCTAGCTTCTATTCTTGTCTCCTAATTTTCCAGTTCGGTCCGGGGCCCCAGTCATGGTCAAGTCGGTGCCCTCCCCATGGATCAACCTTATGGGCAGGCGCACCCACCCCCAGCCCCCTGAGCTGGTCTGCCCTGGGCTACGGGAAGTCGTGCTCAGTGGGTCGCTGCCTCACCTGGAGACCATGCCCACCCCAGGGCCGCCTCCCCTAACAGCCAGGGGGTGAAAGCATGCGACAAATCCAGGTGTTCATGGCCCAAGGCACCCAAGGCTTGGCCTCCAGCTGAGACCACATCCTCGCTTAGCCCAGCCCCCTCCTGCCCTGCGTCCCCACTGCCCCCTCCCTGGAAATCACTCCTCAGGTAACTGGTAACTCACAGGCACCCAGAGCGCTGTCCCAGGTGCTGCTTCTGGGGACCCTGACTCAGGACAGACCCCAAAGGTGAGGAAGGGCTAAGTATTCAGGAAGACCTTCCGAAAGCAAGGCAGCAGGTGGTGTCTGGGACGGGCCACCCTCCCCCACCACCTCCCTCTTCCCTAAAGACCTGCACTCTGGGTTTTCAAAGATGAGACCTGGTCCCCCCAAACCCGACACGGCCATCACTACAGCAGCTGAAGGACCCAGGGAGCGATGCACCTGCTGAGAAAGTGCAGTCAACTAGGATCTGCCCACGTGGGGAAGTCCGGGGCATGTGACTCCATCCCAGAGGGGACAGGGTATTTCAGCGAGAATTACTGAGGAGCCGGCAGCCTCGGACGCAGAGGCAGGGAGGTGGTCATGCATCCATGGGCGCAGAGAGAGCAGCCCCGGGCCAACCCCCCAAAGGCTGTGAGAGACCAGCCTCAGCACACCCCAGTCCTCCCACTGGCTCTGGGGGGCGTCCTGAGGTCCTGGAGCCGGGGGCCTGCCGGACATGAGAAGGTTCTGGTCAGCAGGGGCAGGGCCTGGGTAATAAGAAGCAGCTGGAAGTGGGTGAGTGAAGGTGTCCCGGCCCCTGGCTGCGGGGAACGGGCCCCATCCTGTGCTGCTGCGGGGTGAAGAGCAATGGGGTTTCAACTTTCGGCCCAGGCAGATACTGACAGATGTCACCTCCCCCTGATGCTGGGCTGAGGGCAGATGGCTCAGCTGGGCAGGTACCCTTCCCCAAAGAATCGGATACACTCAGACACAGGGAAACATGGGCGCCAAAAAGTCCCCCTGACGCGAGGCCCCACATGTTCTTTATCAGGTGGACACAGTTCAGCATCTCAGTTTCCTGGGTACCTGCCCCTCTGGCTCCAAGCCTGGCTATTAAGAAAGAAGCTTTCCATTGGGGGATTGACTTGGGCCAATTCTCCCCCGATGCTGGATGGGTCTGTGTTGTACCTTTGCTGCCTCGGGGATGCACTGACTCTGTAAGCGCCCGGGGCTGCGTCCACGGATGCCCACACCACAGCTTCATCGCAGGAAAGAGCCAGTGCCCAGGGCCACAGTGTAGGAAACATTCACAACCTCCTACTTTCACCACCCACTGAGCCTCTCTAGCGAGGGAAGAGAGGAGCTAATTAGGGACTTAATAGGGGATTATTACCTGGGAGATAGAGGAGTGGCAACAATTAGCCACTATCTAGGCTACATCCTATCTAGGCTACAAAAAACCCAGTTCCTGTGCCGCAGGGACACGTGTGGGACTGAAGCAAGGAGCTGGTGGCCAGGTAAATAAACATGATTCCCCAAGAGAAATCTGCTTATCCACTTGTTACGGTTGGTCTCAACTAGACCAAGCCAGCTGTGACATGCGAAATTAATTTTATGTATCGTTTTATGCACATTTTAAGTAATATGTATACGTTCCTCTGCTTTAATCACCGCTGTAAAATTTCTGGATGGTTGCCATATTCCCTCTTCTCTTTATCTGTCCGCAGATCCCAGAGGACATAATTAGTGCACCAGAGTTAGTTAGGTCCGGTACAAAGCATCCATACTTAGCAGCCCTATTATATGAAGATCTGGATTTTAGCACATGGAATCGGGGATTGCTGGTTTGTCATACAAAAGGATCCCTGCACTCACTTTCACATTGCAAATCCAGATGTTTATGCGTTCTGCAAGATGGAAGTCATCTTTGCTTCTCTCTCCAAGCGTCCATCTCAGCCCAGTGGGGAGAGGGGTACATGCCTTGCCACCCCCGACAGAGACACACCTAGGTCCCTCTCTGCACCTGTTGCTTGCCCCCAAGCGCCCTGTCCCAGGAGGAGTGTCCCATCTGCAGGACATTCACTGGGTCACATCCCCAGGGCTGAGGTCTCTGAGCTGAAAAGGCAGCACCTCTGTGTCCTTTGCTCTTTGTTCCTTTCCTCATTCTGCCCACCTTTGTCCCTGGGAAAGGGCTGACCTGGAAGGACTGAGCAGCCCCGGCTTCACGGGGCAGGTTGGATGAGGCACACTGGGTCCGCAGACACGAAGATTTGAGGAAGAGAGAGTAGAAGCCTCGCTCCCACTTTCCCTCCTGGGATATCGTGATTTATGCCCAGACATGTGTATCTGGTCCCCGTCCCCGTTTCTGCACAGAGCTCCTAAACTCTTCCCAAGTGAGGAGGAAGGAGGGGTCGAGGTGGAAGGAGTGTCTTCTTACTCACATCCCAGGCTCCTTCCTCCATGCCCGAGTTCATGTCAGTGAGGGACTCTGGGAAGGTCCCTAAGGAAGGGGGCTGGTGACCAGGGGACCAAGCCTGTGATTAGAAGGTGGGAAATTTCTGTCCCCTCCCCAACCTCTGGGGAGGGGAGAGGGGCTGGAGGTTGAGTCAGTCACCACCGACCAATGATTTAATCAACCGTGCCTACGGGATGAAGCCCCCATAAAACCCCACAAGGACTGGAGAGCTTCCAGGTTGGGGAACATGTGAGATTTGGGGAGTGTGATGCCTGGAGGGGCCATGGAAGCTCTGAGCCCCTTCCTCATACCTCACCCTGTGCATCTCGTCCATCTGGCTGTTCCCCAGTTGTACCCTTTTATAACAACCGATGACCTAGTAAGTGGACGGTCTTCCTGAGCTCTGTGAGTCGCTCTAGCAAATTAACTGAACACAGAAGGGGGTGCTTCGAACCTTGATTTAGAGCCGGTCGGTCAGAAGCACCGGTGACAGCCTGGACTTTCACTCGGCATCTGAAGAGGGGGTAGAGTCTTGTGGGTCTGAGCCCTGAACGTGGGGTCTGACAGTGTCAGATGCGTTGACCTGTGGGACACCCAGCTGGTGTGCTGCAGAACCACTCCATGCGGATGGAACTCAAGCTTCCTGGCCTGAGATGGCCGGCAGGGACGACAGGTGGAGGAGGCAGTGCTTTGGCCTCCCGCACCTCCAGTAGGTCTCTCTGTCCTTCGTCTCCTGAGGACCTGGCTGACCCCAGGCACAGGCTGACGACTAGCCCGCTCCCTGGACGGGGTCGTGGTGGGTGACCGGAGCTCACTGGGTGCAACAGGTGCAGCCCCCAGGGCAGAAGAGCTCTTCCCAGAGGCAGATTGCGGTCACGCAGGGTGTGTCCTCACCAAGGCTTCCGTGGGTGCAACACCAAGGTTAAGGGCGCGTCAGACCACGCTGCACACAGCCTCCCCCAGTCGTGAGGGAGGGAGGCTGCAGTAGAAGCCGGTCTGGGGCTGCCCCTACGCCTCCCTGCTCCCTGCGAGGTCCAGGTCCCTCTTCCACTTTTCAGGGGATGCACAGACCCAGCCTCCCAGGTGTGGGGTTTTTTACACACTGGCACCTTTTACCCCGGGCTGCTCAGTGAGGCCGGGCAGCCTCGCTCAGGTGGGACTGAGTCAGGAAGGCAGGGAAATAGGGGAGCAGATGTGGGAAAGATGCCCAGGTCCGGCCGGCGGGCCTAACTCCCACTCAGAAAGCGCACCACGGCCTCATCTGAAAGTCCGGACCACGGCCTGGACACGCCTGCCCTGCGGCACGACTTCCTCGTGCAGTGTGACAGCCTGTGAGTCAGGAGAGGATGGCTCCCTCCATGGCTGCCACTCGGGCTGGAAGCCTGATTAATAATTCAAGGCAAAGGACCCACACAGAGGGGCAGCGGCAGACGAGGACGGTGTGACTCCAGGATCTCAGGAAGCATTTTGTGCTGTAACACAGTACTGTTGAGGAATTGACACCACAGCTTCCACAGTCAGAAGCTTCTAGCGCCCAAGGTCATGTCTTCTCCCCAATTATAATCCCCAAGGGCAGCATCACGTACACAGTAACAGGGCCACGCGCCCGCACTGAATTTATCCTCACCCCCGGTACGATTTGTGGCAAAGTGAGCTGGCCTTAGAAACACATGTGAGGAGTCTGGTTACAGAAGACCCCAAACAGCATTCGTGGCGTCATAAAAAATAAATAGTTTAATTTTGTTTTGTCCCCCATTCGGTTCCTGGCACCAAGCTCCTAAAGCCCTTGGAATTAGCTAAGTGATCGAACGTCTTTTTTTACTCATAAGGAGCCCCTCTGAGCACACTCGAGTTTGCTCCCATGCCCCATGTGGTGACTCTTGGAGGACGGGGCTGGGCCCGGAAGGACCCGCTACGAGTCGAGAGGGTTGGTTTGTGGCCTCACCTCACGCCCTCTAGGAGGGGAGAGGGCGTGCCTAGTAATAAGACGTCCATAAAACCTCCTTCAGGTCAGAGAGGCTGAACGTGGTGACCACATTGGTGTCCTGGGAGGGTGATGCCCCCAAGAGGGAATGGGGGCCCTGAGACCCCTCCCACACCTTGCCCTGTGCCTCTCTTCCACCTGGCCGTTCCTGTGTTGTGTCCTTATAATAAAACCGCTATCATAAGTAAATCACTCTTCTAAGTTCTGTGAGTCGTTCTAGCAAATTCTCAAACCGAGGGGAGGTCGTGGGAAGCCCTGAGTTCGCAGTCAGCTGGGCAGAGATGCCGGCAGCCGGCTGGGTCTGAAGGAGGGGAAGAGGGGTGGGACTGAGCCCTCACTCAGCCTGCGGGGTTTTGTCTAACCCGGGAGTTGGTGTCAGAAACCAACGGAATTAATTGCAGGACACTCTGTAGGCGTTGGAAACACTGTGTCACTAAGTGTTAGCACAGGGAGCCCGGACCCGTGAGGTATCCCCAGGGTGCCGAGCATTTCAGCTGAAGGCAGAGGGCGGGGGGCCCCCGGGTGCCGGCGACACCGACCATTGACCGGCCAGAGGAGAGGGTGCCCCGCCTGTCCAGTTAAGAGCACAGGTTCTCGCAGTGAGCAGGTGACCGGGGCAGGGCTGCAGGGCAGGACAGATGCCAGACGTCACTCAGGACACCATGCAGGGCGAATGCCACAGCCTGGGACCACGGACGGCTGCTGCTTCCGCCCTGATGGTGCATTAAATGATGCCAATGGTTCTACTTCTGTTCTCTAAATGAGCTGTTCCTCCCAACTGTATCTTGCAATCTAATCTTCAGGTTTTAAAGCTAATTTTACTATAATAACCTTCTTTTCTGCTTCCAAATTACTCCATTATAAAAGGACATTTAAAAAACCAAAGCCAGTGGCTCCCTCGTGGAGGGCGCTTTGAGTGTGGCGTACTCAAAGATCAGGAATCCTCACAGGGCAGCTGCAGAGAGCCAGACACATCTTTAATTAACAGCTATTCAGTTATGCTCTTCTTCGAGTAGAGGGAAAGGCCTTTGAAGCTCAAGGCGTGCTGCCGTCTCTTCAGACACTGCCTTTCACGGATACATATGCAACAACATTACTATTTGAATAAATATTTGCACATATATTCGAGCAGGATAACTTATCACTTAAATGCTGTTTTTCGGCAGAAGGGGGCCACAGTGTGGAGAGCTGCCTGCCAGGAGCTGCAAGTTAATTTTTTAAAACAGCATTACCGACGGAGTATGCATTTCTCTCTGGTGACAACAAGCAAATGCTGGATCAGACAGGGCTCCTTCCCACCGCTCCCGGCCTCCGGGCATCTTACCAGGGGGATCCGGGCACCGGGGTGGAGGCCACGGGTCTTGTGCCTTTGGCCGCTCTGTCTTCGCCTGTCACTAGGATCGATGGAGCCTCCTTTCAGTAGAGAGAGAAGGAGAGAACTTTAAAAAAAAAAATTAAACAGTCCTCTTCAATTACAGGCAACCTAGTAAAGAATAACAAGTCTCCTGCAGACAGACCTGCCCACGGTAGCTATTAGATAATGACCTGCTCAGTAGAGCCAGCTAATGGGACCCGGCAGTCACATGAGAATTTAGAATTAATGGCACCACTGACCGTGTTGAGTGATTCAGACTAAGGCTTCCCTCTAATTATCCCAAATTGGCTCAGCTGCCTGCTTTTGTAGAAACAGACACAGGTGGTGGTGGCTGAGAGTTTGCTTCCAGATGCCTTAGTGTCTTGGGGGCAGAAACTCCCACTGGATTCGTCTCTTGAGATGGGCTGACCCAGGGGCTGGAGTCACTCTACGGCCAAACACTGCCTTCAGTGGCAGGGAACCTTGGAGCAGTGAGGGTCCCAGGTGTGGCTGGGCTGGGCCGTCCTGTCCCTTGAAGGCAGGGGAAGTGACAAGCCTGTGTCCTTGCAGTGACTCCCCCCACCCCCTCCTTCTAGAGCATCCATGTGAGAGCAGAGTTCAGGGCGTGTTCTACATTGTACAGGTGACTGTGGTGCACAGTTGGGTTTGAAAATCACTGTCTCTGTCTTCAGGTAGAAAATAAGGAATGTTTGAATATGACATCACCCAGAAGAAAATGAAGATTATTCCCTAAAGTTAAAAAAAAAAAAACACTATGGCTGGGACACTTGATCATTGTTCATTATGGTCAGAATCTGGAGAGAAACAGAAGTTGTTTGAGAGTAGAAAACATGGGCAATTATGACGCCAACATAAACACGGATCCAAGATTCAGATTAACTTATTTAGCTGCACTGATGTACGACATGTATCAGATTTTCTTAAACAAAGGGAAACAGAACCAAACTCCTACAGGTGGAACTGAAAAATTACCAGGAGGAATTTTTTTTTTTTTTTAAAGTCAGTGCCATCTCAATTTTGGAACAGCTATAAGAAAGAAATGAAACCATAGTTAGCACAATAAATTCTAGTGGTGAGGAAACACTTTTTTTTCTTCTACCAGCTGTTTCCATGGTTTTAACCTCAAATTTAGAACAGTATAATAAGGACTGTGTTCTCTTTCACAAAATCAGGTGAGATTAAAAGATACTAGCGCATAATTATTCAAAGCAGCAGCCAGGTTCTGAGTTGAGAAAGTCAGGAGCGATTAAAGCTCTAGATTCGTTCAAAAAAAAAATTAAATGTCATCCTAAAATCTGAGGATCTGTTTCTACCATCATCAGTGTCAGTGCTTTATGAGGTAGGGTGGGTGAGGAGAGGAGACGGTTAGCCATTTGTGGGAATGATTCAAAGTCAAGGATGCCAATGCTGCCACGCACCATGTGGGCACCACTGCCAGGCTGGCTGCACAAGGACAGGGCAGTTGCACCAAGAGTCCACAGGCTTGTTCCAGGGCCCCCGAGGGCCACACTGGGACCAGTACTCATTCCCACCGTCCCAACCTCCTTTGAAACAGAATCGTTAGCAAGCAAAGTGCTACATTATGAGAGCACTGAAACATAAAATTCAAATATAAAGTTAAAAGATCACCAAGGGTCTATAAGGGTAGGAAAACCCCCCAAACAAGTCACGTGAACTCCGGCAAAACCACAGGCAACGGAGTGAACCTGCCTCCTGTTCACTTGGGAGTCGAGCCCGCGACATCAGGAGAGAACGGCCAGTGCCGGCAGAGCCGGGCAGAGGGTGGACGGGAAGGGCCGGGATGAAGAGCTCATCTGGACCAGGTCTAGCGCGGCCTCTGCGCAAGGACCATGGGGAACCGCGTCAATTAAAGGTTAGACAGGTAAGATCCATGACATGAGGGGTGATCTCTTTCACGCCTGTCCATCCTGGTCTCTTACGGGGGGCTTCCTGGGGCCCTTCATTCATTGTGACGTACAATTACACTGACTAAATGATTTGTAATTTACGTAATTATCCCTAAGTTCATAAGTTGAGGAACGATCTTTTTGTAGAATTTTGGGGTGGTAGAAAATGTCTTTGTTTCCTGTGAGAAAATAGCGTAACTGGGAGTATTCAGAAACAGTTGTGTTAGAAATATATGTGTATATCAAGACCAGAGTTTACATTACTAATCCAAGCAGAAAAACGAGGAGGGATTTTCATAATGAAGCTAACTGAAGAATGAAACCTAATGAGGGGCCTCTGAGTAGTAGATTTCCCCCACTAATTATTCAAGTAAATACGGTGGGACGTGATTTCTGATGGGGACTAACATTTCAGTTTGGCAAAGCTGGGGTTCTCTTGGTAATTCTCACTAATTACCAAGGTCGTCTTCTTGAGATGCACGCTGGTTATGATTTCCTGTTGGTGATAAAAATGGCTAATCATGGGCTTCCCTGGTGGTGCAGTGGTTGAGAGTCCGCCTGCCGATGCAGGGGACACGGGTTCATGCCCCGGTCTGGGAAGATCCCACATGCCGCGGAGCGGCTGGACCCGTAAGCCATGGCTGCTGAGCCTGCACGTCCGGAGCCTGTGCTCTGCGACGGGAGAGGCCCGCGTACCGCAAAAAAAAAAAAAAAAAAAAAAGGCTAATCATGGCATAAAACTCCCCTTCCACACTGAAGTAATATAAGTGAATTAGAGGCACAGAGCCCAGAGATAAAGAAAGTAGCTAAAACAGAAGAAAGACGATCTATTTAATAAACATGTAATTCTGACACGGATGTTAATCTCTCATAGAGAAATCCTACATCAGGGAGCAACAGTTCAATTTGCACTAACGTTCATGATCCATTTATACCATTTAGCATCGGCACTAATGATGGGGAGGAAGGCGTGGCCCACAGGTGAGTGTGTGCCCAGGGATGTCACTAACAGGGAACTGGTAGGACAACCAGCGGGAACGGGGACGTAACAGGCTGAGGCAGAGACACACCTGGTAACAGCAAAGGAAGAGAGAATGTTCACACGACACTGGGGCATGCCAGAGGCCAGCAGCGTAGCTGACAGATCAGACCAGAGGCCAAAGTGCCATCTGTGACTTTCAAAAGCAGCAATAAACGCTGATTTCTTGGGTTAGTTGTGGGAAGAGAAATGCATCCAACGCGTTCACAGTCTATAAAATGCCTTCTGGTAAACGAGCAGAGGGAAGGACCTGAGACTCTAATGGGTTCAGGAAACACAAACATGTGCTGGTTTTCCTATAACAGTGAAACCAAATGCAGACCGCAGCCTCGCCTGAGGGGCGTCCAACTGCACGGCCTGGCTGCCCGCGTGCCCGTGCCCGTGCCTGCTGTGATGTGAGGGCGGCGGACCCAGAAGGCCAGGGTCACTACTCCTTTGAGCAGTGCTGGCCAGTGAGCTCTGGACCCAGACCAGGAAGGGAAGGCCAGGCTGCTTCTGCCTGGCTCCCGGATGCCCCTTCCCTTCCTCAGGGCTCTGGAGCTGTCCTGCTGGATCCGGCCCTGTTCCACACAGGGGACTGCAAAGCACCACTGCCGAGAGCCAGGTGGGAAAACAGGGGCGAAGGCCGTGCGGGCCCCGCAGCCCCCAGCCCGGGGTTTCACATCTTCGCAGCCCACTGACCTTGGCTGGTCTGTCTCCCGCCGGGCTCTTCGTCTCCCCGTGCAGCATCAGGGCCGGCGGGCAGGGCGCCCGGCTGTGCTCTCTGCTTTTATCTGCAGGGCCAAAACAACCGTCATTAGCATCTGTTTGTCCTGTCAGTTTGTAAAACTGAACAAGGACAGACAGTGGCTTGGAGAATTCAGAGTGGTGGTGCACACGGTGCGTCCCACGGGAAGCTGTGCCGACTGGTGCTGGCCACGCCTCCACTGCGACTTCATGGTGAGGTCCTGGCAACCCCATCTGAGCCTGCACAGCACTGTCCACAGAGCACTTGGCCACGCACGCATCCTGGACCAGGCCACGTGGGTCACAATGGACGGGACTCAGGTCTCCCTGACAAGGGGGCCAATGTGGGCAGCAGAGGCAGGCTTCCGTAGGCTTCAACAGCCAGTGGCCGTGATGGGCCACCCTGAGCCCTGTCCCAACAGGGGCTGGGCGTCCATGCTGGCCAGACTTCCTGTTACCGTTGTTTGCCCATCCCTAAAGTGGACTCTGGCCCCCATGGGTGGCCTGCACAGTGCTTTGACTGTGCAGACAGTGACTGTCTGGGAGGAGGGAGGGGAAAGTGGAAACAACCTGACTCCAGATATGAAAACAGACTTAGGCTTCATCTTATTCAAAGACGTTGCGTAGCCTCAGACGTCTGCGGGCAGTGACGGACAGCAAGATTAACCACGGTGTTAGGAGCAAGGATTAGTAGAAACACCAAGCCACCTAAACACACCAGCCTCACAAATAGATAAATTCACCGAGGAGACCCTGGAAGGGTCTGGAAGGGATTGCTTGACCTGGAGCTCCTGTCTGTGCAACACAGTTGAGCAGGTCCCAGGGTCTCTCCTTCCCAGTGGAAGGGAGGACAGAACGATAAGCACCGCTCTGTGTGTGTGCGCGTCTGTGTGTTCTCACGAATGTACGTGTGTGTACGTGTGTGTGTGCATGCTTGGGCTTGGCTCCCACCTGGGGCCCGGCCACGGTGCCATGGTGGGCATCGGTACCTGGCACCCTAGTGGCTGCAGAGCCAGGTCCAGGCTGCAGGGCAGTCGCCCCAGAGCCTGGGTGAGGGAGCAGGCACCCCACTAACAACTGTACCTCAGAGATGCAGCAGTGCCCCGGGGCCAGCTCTGGACCTGGACCAAAAGTCCAGTCCCCACAGAGGTGCTGCGTCTGGACGAGGCAGAAGCACGCGGGAGCCAGCCCTGAGGCCCCGCCTCCACCTGTCACGGACATGGATGGACGGACAGAGGTTGTTAGGACCGCAGCCAGGCTTGCTGTCACTCTGAAGCGTGGCCTGGCCTGCAGGCTCTCCCCAGGGGCCAGTTGGCTGGTGCTGGCTCTTAAAGGGACCTTAGCTCAGGCTGGTGGCAAACAGACCAAGCGTGGACCCCAGACCTTGTGGCTTCCGGCTGCCCTCACATCTCCAAACCGCGTGCGTCTGGAGCCTGGAACGCACATCCCCTTCACACGGGGGCGGTAAGTGCCGACCACTGGGCCCCCCGGGCAGCCGTGACCACCACCCAGAGGCTCGCCTCGGGCCTGGCAACACCACTTACAGGGCCGTTTCACCATCGGCCTTGGGGAAGGGACTATAAAGCAAACCTCAGTCAACAAACCACACCCCAGCCTCGAGGAATGCGGGTGGTTCCACTGAGTCAACAGTAGATTCTCTGATACCCTGTCCCCACTCGTCCTGCAGAGCCTGGTGTGTCACGAGGTCTAGAGCCAGGGACCCCCGTCTGGGCTTCAGCTCGGGCCCTGATCCCACCAGCCACCAACTCCGTGCCAGACGGGAACGGGGGTTTGCCAGGGGGCATCCGCGGGGCAGTCCTGGAACCCAGCCCTTCCTGCCGCTGCAGCTGAGGAACAGGGTGGGAGGCTGGTGCCCAAGGTGGGCAGAGGGGCTTTGCAAGGATGCCTGGGTGTGGGCAGCCTTAGCAAGAGGTCCACACTGGCCAGAAAAGCGCAAGGGCCTGCGCCGGGGTGGGGGGCACTGAGGAGAGAGCCACGGAGGGTGGTGTCTGAAGAGGCCACCAGAGCAGCTCTTGTGCGAAAGAGAGGCCGGGGACACAGGGACACTGCCTTGCCCAGGAGACCAAGGCTGCAGAACCTCCCCAGAGCCGCCCGCAGGACCTGGGACGCTCGACCCCTGCTCTGTGAAGGAGGCCAGAGAACAAAAAGGAAGCTGAACTCTCCCTGCTCCCACCTTGCCTCCCGGCAAGGCCCAAGGAAAGGGAAGAAAAGCTTGAATTTGCAACGAAGTGGAAGGGTCTGGGTTATGACCCTGGGCTCTACTTTCGAATTGCTGGACTGAGACCTGAGCTGTGAGTAGAAATGAGCAGCTTTCCACCACCTGAGCACACGGTCTGGGCTCCTTCCCAGTCTGCGCGGGCCGTGCCCGGAGGGAGGGGCCGTGTGCCAATGCGGGGGCTCCACACAGAAAACAAAGCAATCGGGCGTCACTGGAAATGTGAGGATCTTCTCACCTCGTGCAAATACTACACATCGTAAAAATAGTGCGAGGAAACTGACCGCAAGGCCCTGTGTGCTCGTCATAACGCAATTCTCAATGAGAGTACTCTTGCTTACGTGTATTCCCTCATTATTCTGAGAAAGTGTATTAATTTTTTTTCCTTTATTGAAAACACTTGATCTTTGTAAAACTTAGCTCTTCAAATCTGGCATTTGGGCTACATGCACGGCGCTGCTCACTGTGACGGCTTCTTTGCAAAGACAGCCCTGATCATCACGCTGAAGGCCCTCACGGCACACGCGCCCCCCAGAGCGCCTGTGACAGACGTTGAGCCTCGCCCTGAGCGGCTTCCTTAAGAGCCCGCCCCCTCTCACAGCCGTGGCTCATCTAGCCTTGCTGCTTGGCTGAGCTGGGGCACCCAGATCCCTCTCGTAATAGCCTGGGTCTCCATGTTCGTCCTGGAAGAGCTTATGCTACGTCTCCCCGAGGGCCACTCCGGGGCCCACTCGGACCTGCTTAACCACCCTGTGCTTTGGGCCTCTCCACAAACCCTGATGATGCTGCCATCAGATGCTCCCTTGGGTGTCAAAGAGAACTAGTTTGTGGAGGAGAATCAACAAGTCTGAAGACCTGGTGCTGAAGTGCTTAGGGGCGCGCATGATGCCCTTCCACCCTGTGAGGGGGGCAGGATGGTCAGATCTTTGGGGGCGGTTGGTCTATTGATCAAGCCCAGCCCTGGGAGGGGAAGGGCTCTCAGATAGTTTGCTTTTCCTCCTGGCAGGGCTGAGCGACAAGGAGGCCCAGAAAGGTCGCATGGAAGCCGGGAAGAAGAAAGGGGGCCTGTGTGAAAACTGCACACAATCCACTGAAAACACGTATTTGCTGCCTGTACAGAATCCAGCACAACCCTGGCTGTTTGTGGGGAGAAGTGGGGGGAAGTGGAGTGAGCAATCAGACAGCACCTTCCCTCAAAATGCTGCAGGAGTTGGCAAGGGTGACGGGAGGGGATACACAACAGCCCTCGGAAGGTGAACGGTCGGCAAAACTTGTCCCATGGAATAAAGGGGACAGAAAAGCCATGCTCCTCATAGGTGAGACTTAGCCGTGGAAACGTCTAGCTCGGCAATCAATCACCTTGTTTCCCTAGAAGAAGAGCGAGGTGGGCTTGCTGTGTCCTAATCTGAGGGCAGGGGTCCATGTCAGCTTCCCAGCATGTCACCTCTTGGTCATTAGTCCCCATCTAAGCCACCTGTTCCCTTAGAGTCCCGGGGACGTGAAGACTCAAAGTTATCTGGTATCAGGCCTCAGACCAAAGATGGCTCATATACAATGGTAATGGGACAATTACTATACACCCAGAACTATATTGAATAAAGCACTAGGATTGTTTTAAACATTTAAAAGTTGCTTTCTTAATTATTAACATAAAGAACCACTGCAGACGAGTCAAAATTGTCTAACTTGTCAAAAAGATATAAAAACACGTCCGCATCTTTTAATTCAAAAGGTGACTCTGAAATTCAATCTCATTTTAATCCAATAAATTTTGCCCTCCCTTGGTCTCAGTTTCCTCATCTATAAAATGGACCAATCTCCTAAGTTTCTTCCAATTCTGGGATTCTGAAAGTCAACAGGACATCTGGAACTGCTTGGGGTATATTCCCCCAAAATAGAAGATATAAGCAGTGAACTTGGAGGGCCAGAATAATCTTCTGGTTTCCTGTTGGGGAAGAAGGAAATGGATTAACCCCAAGGAAGAGGGCAGAAGAGACAGTTAACCTTTTCTATCCTGAAAACCAACAGTGGCTTCTGATGAATTTGGAATTAGTGGGGAATCTCCTCTTAGACCAAGGGGACCCCTGATCCACAGATGGTCTGCACCACACGACCCTGATTGTGACCTCCTGGGGGAGCCCATGAGGTTGGGGGGACAGCAGGATGACTTGAGTTCCCTGGTCATTGCAGACCACCGGCCACGATGGGAAGGTTGACAAAGCCAGTCCACGCCACTAAACCCCACGTGCGCACAGGCCTCCGCCTGCAAAGACTGGAAGTGAACAGACGGGTCCCTGCCGGGGAATGTGCTTAGAAACAGAGGTTTCTCCCCAGTGACCACCCCCCCCCAAGTCCTGGAGAAGCCTGTGTAGGACATGGGGTGCTAGGGGCAATCCTGGAGTGCTGGGGTCCCATTCTCTGTGTCTGCCACGATCTAGTGACCCCACTTCCATATCTGAATGTTCTCACCTCCAAGAACCAATAGCGTATCACCCACTTAAAGAAATGCCTTAAGGAGAATAATGAATGGTATTTTAATCTTGAATACTGTCTCCTGTAAGTGCTGCCTTAAAATAATTTCTGCGATGCTTAAGCAAAGCAGAAACAGTCACCTCATTTCACACCTAAGAAAATTAGACAAGGCCTTCTAGCCTCCACTGTAACTGAATATCATTTTCAGACAAATGGCACATCATTTGTGAGCCCTCCTACATTTTTCACAGGTATTCCTGTAGACTGCAAACCATCATTTAAAACACTTCTCTTTGGTTCAGGTAGAGCACATTGCAAAAGTGCGGCATTCAATCTTTT